AAGGGCTCTTTTCGCACAACCACGTGAAGGGTGGAAGAGAGCCAGAGGCGGTCAAACAATGACTTGGCAGTGAAGTATGAAAGTCATTACCAGCAAACTCAGCTGCACTGGTCACTGCCGTCTTCCTGGATGGGGACCCCAAGACGGGCCACATCAATGGCTAGAGACGTCAGACGTGGCCCAGTCGTGCCCTCAATGGCGCTCGTGCATCCAAGCTATTGCCTTCAATTCATAGCCCCTTTTCCAATCCCCCACTTGACAGCCCACTGACAGTGCTGGAATTTGCACCAATTTATCAGCTCCCGCCTGAAGTGCACAGCTACCTCCCCCCTCCCCCCAAATCATCGGTGAACGAAACTGCGGCAGCTACAACCATTGTACAACGGGTATGCGGTTATTACAGCTGATAATGATGATGGTGGATGATATGATGATTTTAGCTTGGATATCCCTGGCGTGACATTCTCATGTCGCAGCGCGTAGGGCTTGATGATGGCACTCCAATATCGGGCATGGCGTGATGATGATGATGATTTTAGCTTGGATATCCCTGGCGTGACATTCTCATGTCGCAGCGCGTAGGGCTTGATGATGGCACTCCAATATCAATTCGGGCATGGCCGAATCCACTTGTGTACTGCGCATTTTCTCCCTCTATCAAATATTTCAATCTACCCACTTTTTTTATCCATAACGCATTCTGTACTCTTCTGCTACTTTCTCCTTACTCATCTTTTTTCCTCATTTTCTTCTAGATTCCACTTTTTCTCCTTCAAATTTTAACCTTAAATCCTTTTTGCATTTTCATCACACTGGTATCTCCACGGGTTTGGGAGAATTCCAATATTCGTCATTCCTAGTTACAATGGAGTCTTCTGAGGTGAACCCCCAGCTTTATTCTTTCCAAGCGTTTTCCATATCTATGTTTTCGTTCTTCCGGTTTCAGATGTCTACCATGGAAAATAATTTCAGGAATTTGCGTCTGGAAACCGGTGATCGAGAGAGCAGCTATGGCTATGTGTATGCCGTGTCAGGACCAGGTAAGCACTCTGATGCTGTCGCATTCAGCTGTCCTACAGTTTCGGAGCGTCCGTTGTACGATACATTGTACTGTTTTCAACCTACTGTGTCGTTTGTTTGATATCCTCTGAAGTTACTCTGTAATATCCTTCTGAGTAGTCAGATAAACTCAATACGTTGTATAAGATCTAAGCCTTACTCCTTTATTCAACTGCCATGTGTAGTTAACTTGATTTGTGAAGAAGCTGATAGAATAACTAGGCCCATTGTCAATCCTCCAGAATAATTTATCAGATTTCTTTTGATATATCTCAAACATATTCCGCGTCCTGGGATTTCAAATTCAGTCCTACAGAAGTGCAGAACTTTGTACCCTTTCTGTCCGGTTTGTTGCCGTTTACTTTCGATACCCGCCCAGTATTTTTCACTGCTGGGTTATCTCATCATCTTGATTGTTAATTATTATTTGCCCTACTATTTTTCACTCTCCAGTCGTGACAGCCTCCTCCATGTCCGGTTCGGCTATGTACGAACTTGTGCGTGTGGGCCACGCCGAGTTGGTCGGTGAGATCATCCGTCTGGAAGGGGATTTGGCAACGATTCAGGTCTACGAAGACACTTGTATCCTTTTCCAAATGCCTTGATTAAAGTAAATCATAAAGCTCATGCCAAACAGTTACTGTCGTCCTGACTAGCTACTCAGCTTTTTCAACTTATTCTCAACGGCCCGATTCCACGTAGATCAAGCTTCAGGACAGAATAGACGCCTCATCAGACGCGAGGACGATTGCACCTATGTCAATTGTCGTTTTTTATTGCTTGGATGGCACTGCACTGCCACTTCCAACCGATGGAATTTTTTCCGTCAAAATTCGAACTTCCTCTAAAAGTCTTATGGTCTGCAGTCATCATATTTAGTACACAAGTCTTGTCTCCACTTCTTCATAGCTCCGCCTTCAATATTCTCCTCAAAATTCTCCTTGTGTCTCTGGAGTCACCGTCATTTACTCGTACATGCGGTGCAATAGACAGGCCGTTTGTTTTTCCCATATCGGGCACAATTTCACGGGTGAGGATTGCCCCAAAAATCCATCATCGGATTGCCCAATTTGCATGCACAAAAATGCGAATCCCATGACACTAAAACTATCCTAAATGACTTGTTTGAATGGACACCACGTTGACTTCACCTCACGTTCATCGACCTATTTTTACTTACCACTAAACTTGAACATATCTTAGCTTGATTCGGTATTGGGAGTGTTTTCCAGTCAGGCGGCATTTTCCTCTATAATATCTCTCAAAATGGTCTCCCTGAGATAGGATATTTCGTAGCATTCAGTCCCATATTTAGATGACTGGAGTCGAAGTCGAATATGCCGAATTTCCCAGTGGTCAACCCATTGGATGTCTGCGGGTCGGGTCAAAGGCGGTTTGTGCGGATCTGAACGTGGTATTGTGTGAAAGTTGTCGGATCGCATCTAGCACCGAAGAAGTGTTCGATGAGCGAACATGGTGAAGCCGTAATTCAACATAACATCATCAGTGACTTGCTTTGCATTGAGGTGTCGACGTCACTCGTAGGTTCATTCAAATTTCAGCGTAATACCGCACCGCCTTTAGTTCAATACCATGCAAAGATTCCTGTGGTTCACCCATTACAGCGACGTCAATCTGGTGCTGGATAACCTAGCAGCATTTTATCAACTATGTGGGTAATGATGTCATCCTTAGGATGACAATGTCTGACTGGTACTGATTATGGGATGAAACAAGCTTATTTCGGTTCCAGTTGTTTACGTCTAGCGGTTGGATAACGGAGTATGCGTGCGGCCTACAGGGCCATAAGTTGCGCATTGCCATATGGTCGACACTGTACGAATAGGATTTAGCCCAGTTCGAATGGTTCGCCTGTTTTGCAGCACTGGGACGCGTCGCATGTGAAGACTCCCTACGCCTGAATGGATAACCGTTCTACAGACCTCCCTATTAAGTACCAAATCCTCTCACATTCTACAATGGAATTTGCGATTTTTCAGAATTACTGGAAGGCTGTCCTGTTGGAGGAATTTATAGTGGCTTCGGTTTTCAAACTTAATCCCTAACGAACCGAAGGCAGTTTGTTTCAGGAGGCGGATTTTGGCCTTTTTTCAGGTGGCCTAACCAGCGGAGTCGGTTTCGCATCGGACNTTCATGTGAACATTGGCCTTCAGGTCATTGTTGCTCGATGCTTTCTTGTCTGTACGATCAGTCTTGTTCCCGTTACGCTCTGTCGTCCACGTGTGCCTCAACTTACTTTACTGAAAATAATGGGTGATAGTTACGTGAAAGTTAATTGCACAGCACTTCGACAAGTGATTTTAGATGCTTTTCATTTGAACTTTTTACATTTCCCGGGGCTTTGCACGTAGATGAACAGCAATTGCTTGAATTCCAAGTCCATAACCAACGAACCTTCATTTGATGACCTATCGTGAGACCATTGTGATAGTAGTCATGTCAGTGGCAGAGCCACCGTGGTGCTGACTTTCCAAATTTTCGAGGTGTTTCTTTTGTCGTTCTGTTTCCTCAACCTGTCACCTTTTAGCCGGTGTAACTGTTGGCGATCCCGTTCTGAAGACCGGAAAGCCATTGTCCGTGGAACTTGGTCCTGGGATAGTAAACAACATCTTTGATGGTGAGTCTGAGGAATTTCTAGTACTGCACTTCATGAGTCTATTTTTCACTACTGCTCTGATCAGAAAAACATGCATTGCATACATATAGTTGTAAGTATATTTGGAACCTTGGTTGGGCCCTATAGCACTCAGTCAAATAATCTCCTTTTTCTACTTGTTCAGCATTTGGTTCACCGACTGTGCGGTCCTTGGATGCCAGATCTGGATATAGATGGTCCCCACAAAGTTTACTTGTAGTAGACATGTTTAGGTCAAAACTAGAATACGGATGACGTACCGCACTCGGCAGTGCTAACATTATGTTCAATAGCTCTTCACTAAAAGACTGAACGAAGGGAACTTCACATTTTCACTCTTTCTGAATTTCTAATAGGCTCATCTCTGAGCTTCTCCCAGGATTTAGGGATATCGTACTAACGTAGACGAAGGACAGCTTACGCGGTCCAGCATAGCTACGAAATTCTTCGGGGTGGGAGTGGGGGTGGAAAATATGTCTCCTCGTGGCTTATCTTTCACTTATCGTTAACTGCGAATCCCTAGGAGAATGGTTTCAGACTAAAATGGAGCTGGTGCGTAGACAGGCCGCCGAGTGAACTGTAGCCCTCAGATCAGTCGGATTCATCCAAGTCACCGTCATTAGTTAGCCACATTGAAGTTAAACTCTTTGGATGAACTACACCGAAATCTACTATCTCTGTACGTGTACACAAACATAAAACGTTAATTGGAACGATTTTCTCGTTTTCTGTTCTGACCTGAACTTTGTCAGTGAATACACGGCCACTAAAGGTAGATGTTTGCAAAACACTAAGACGTTTACCAATGATGGATAAGTGCACAGAAAGGCTGGAGATTTAACTCAGCATCACTGGGAACGGAAGTGAGGTGGCGAAGGAGATCCTGCGTTCATCGGACCAGTAATTTGTTTCTGTATCGTGGATAAGAGATGTGTGTTACACACATGATGTGGTACGATGGTATGCTTTAGAGAGTCGGGACTGGTGCATGTACCTGAGACCTCTGGCGTCCGGCTCGACGACTCATAATTGGTGTTTCCAACAATATTTGGCACTTTCTGGGTGCACGAGCAGTTAACTGATCCTTGTTATTTATTCTCGTGTTCGTCTTATATGGAGTGATGTCACGGAACCCCCCGGTTTTTCTTCTCCAAAGGAGCGTTAGTTCATGAAAAAGCCCTAGGTTAAAAGACCTGACCGCAGTATGACTAGAAGACAAATGACAATCACCTTTTGCTTCTTCATTTGATTTCTACCTTCTGGATCCGTTTTAGGCATCCAGCGCCCACTAAAAGGCATATGTGATTTGACCAACTCAATCTACATCCCCAAGGGTGTAAATGTGCCATCCTTGGATTGTAAAGTCGAGTGGGAGTTTTATCCGACCGCGACATTGAAGCCGGGGATGCATATCACCGGTGGTGATATTTATGGTGTAGTCCACGAGAATACCCTAGTCAAGCACCGCATCATGTTGTCACCAAAAGCACAGGGAACTGTACGGTGGGTTGCTCCAGCTGGACATTATACCATCAAAGTGAGTTTGAAACAATAAACCAGGGGTATTTTTTTAAAATGTGTATTAGAAGTGAACTGATCGCGATGTTTATGCTGCATGCCATAGTAGCTGCTTCATGTCGTGGCCTAAATTTCTTCACTGACAAACTTAGATCTTACGCTTATTCACGTCTTGGAATAGGCCTGGCATTTGAAGAAACATAAGCCACTTTTATCACGACTTTCTACTGTACTTTAACAACTATGGTTCCTTTGTATTTCTGCATCCCCATGTTTGATTTCGAACCTACCCAACGCAAGATGATTCAAAGTTATATATCGGTCGGCAACGCGACAGGATAAAATTAGTCTGATTCCTGTCCATGAATCTGAAGCACACTTATATGAGCATGTGATCGATTTCACATTCGTCTTCGTTTACTGTCAAAGCATTGGCATTGACAATGTCAGCCCTACTTTCATCTGTTTTGGATCAATGTGAGATACTCGTGTTATCATGCTGTTTACCCAGTCTTGCTGTCCGGTTGGCTTGTCGCAACGCACTAGTATCTGTTAGGCTTCTTTGTATGACGAATTGAGGGACTAGAGCTATTGTGATCCATATATTGTGACCGTTATTGCGAACCCTGTTTGACCTTGGTGCATGATACTACTCTTATTATATACAACTTACAATTAACTGCGCCATATACAATAAGATCTATCCTAAGCTTGAGTCAATGGAGCCCATTAAAGGTGTTTGCTGCAGAGGAATCTATGGTGTGGAGTGTATTGCAGCCCGTTACTCGTCCTAGCATACAGTTTGTTTTGGTTTGTCGTTGACAGAGTAAATTTCTCATCGTAGGAGGTACGTGAAATCAGAATTACAGTCGACTGTCGGTATTTCTATCAGAGGAATGGTCGCTCATTACGTAAACTTTGCGTTGAGAACTTAATTGGGAGCTGGCTTCAGACCGTTACTCCAAGAGAATGAGTAGCATAGCGGTCACCATGTGGAAATGTTCCTCGTCATACTTTATTATCATCATCGTGTTCTCTCACTTACTCATCAACAGGACAAAATTTTGGAAATCGAATTCGATGGCGAAGTATCTCATCACAGTATGCTCCAAATATGGCCCGTACGTCAACCCAGGCCAGTGGCTGAGAAGCTTCCGGGCAATTTCCCGCTGCTCACAGGACAGCGAATTCTAGATGCGCTTTTTCCGTGAGTTTACCTCTCATTGTCTAGGACACATGCAGGCTAACCTTATATTGACCTATTGCTGGTGGTTCAAACGATAGCCCGGCAAACACTGGTCCCTAGATGGCTTTCGGAAGAAGCAAATGGCCGGTGACAGGCAAGCTAGGCGCAATCCATTGGCTATACTGTTTAGGCCATCCAATTCGTGTGTAAGAAACGGTCTGTTTGTCGTTGGGATTTTCGTTCAGCCATGTCTAGATTGGAAACGGTTGAGAGGCGGACACTTTATGGCTTGCCAAAAAAGTATGAATCCGCTAGCCATTAAACGCAGTCGGACTGTCGGTTGCCGTCTGTCCCTCTGGATGAGGACGTAGAGACAATGACGAGCATTGGCTGATGACATTGGCGGACTTGGTCCGACAGGGTGGAGAGGCGGACATTTTATGGCTTGCCAACAAATTATGAATCCGCTAGCCATTAAACGCAGTCGGACTGTCGGTTGCCGTCTGTCCCTCTGGATGAGGACGTAGAGACAATGACGAGCATTGGCTGATGACATTGGCGGACTTGGTCCGACCACGCAACCAATGGCGCCCCTGTACCAAAGCTACCAACCTCAATACTCAGCTGCCTTGATTCTGCCTTTATTAGGAAACACCGACCATTCGTTGCTTCTGCACTGGCCAGGTAATTGCTTCTAGTGCGTCATGGTCTACCCTCCGTGTCCTTTGTTATCGTCAGACGAATATATAGCAGCCGGAATAATATGCCTTTTTTGCCTGGTTTGTAACTGACTGAACTGAACTAAGTTGGAGTTAACAAGGCCGGCACCGTTTCGTCCAACATAAGAGGTCGAATCGTTGCATTTGTAATTCAGTTAACCTGTTACTCCAAGGCCGGTCGTCACACAGTATGTTTCTGAATCCCTAGCGAAAGCGTACTAGTTGTTCACTGGTTCTTTGATTACAACAACTTACTGATGACTCATGTGTTCCAGTTGACCAGGATGAAGCAAGTGTTTGGGACCCTTTGTTAATCCAATGACATAGCAGCCAAAATTGGTCACCAAGAGTTGGTTTGCATTTTCGTGCTGCTTTATGCACCGTATAGGAAAAGGATCTTAGCGGATTGCTTAAGATGTACATTTTTCATGGGAAAAGAAGGTTCATTATCAGAGAATCCACGACAGTTTGTAATTCAAAATCAAAATATAAAATTCCCCTGATAGTTAAACTTCACTAATCCCTTTTTAATTAGCATCACAGACCCATACTCTCTTAACAAAAGGTTGACGCCGTAGGTTTGGGAATGGTACTTAATTAGACGACCGATGGAGCTTCCTATTATCTGGATGGTTACTTGCGCCATTCAGGTTACACCTACTTCGTGGTCATGCAGTCGTTAGAATGTTTTATACAGAACATCTGATCTGACCTAATCTTGGTTATCTCACAAGTCGACCGTTTCAAGTCATGATATCAACCTTAAAGGGAGTTCAGTTCACTTTTTGATGATTATTAGCTCATCTCACTCACACCCGTGTTTTGAAATTGGCCCACGAAAGCGCAACTGTCGTGTGTATATTTGCTTCTCTGCGGTAAACTCTGTGTGCTTCGCAGGTCACCGTTGTTATGTGAACTGCTTACTGGGATAACTTTTTCACTCATTATCCATCACTGTTCATGTCCTTCTGTGCACTTTAGGACATCGATGTCTGGATGCACATTCTTTCACACTTTACTGTAGTTACATCAGCATTTACCTGTTTTGTGTAACCAGTCTCTGCTGCGTTTTATTGTGGAGTAGTTTCATGTCACGTGGTCAACTTCGGAACTTTCCAGGTCTGTGGTGGGTCTATTCTTTTGGTATAAATCCGCGCACCAAAGAAAATATAACCGATTTAACTACAGTATGCCCCCTGCAGGGACCAAGATTAATTACCTTGTTTACTCTGCTCTATTTAATTTCTGTTATAAATCTTAAAGATAGGGCAAATTTATTCCGTGCTTCACTTCCGGTTTTCCGTTTTTTACCTTCACTTCCGTTCTTCCTCTGTAAGCGCTTATGCATTGCGATACGGTTTACAGGATGAAAGTTTTCAAGCTCTCACTTTTATTTCAATTACTCGTGAGTAAAACTTTCCACAGTAAAACCAATTTCGGCATGTCCCACCAAACTCTCTTTATGTTTCTTGTGGACCGAGTTCTCACCGTTATGGTGGCAACAGCCAAAGTGAATTTCCCCAACTTTACCAACTACATCCCTTTCTGAATTGAAGGAAAGGATGTCAATGCTATGTTTACACATGAATTTATGGACAAGCTCGGGAGGCAACACTCTAGGTTGTATTTACTCCTATTGGAGGATTGTTTTTGTTTGATCCCGTCAACGGCTAATTTAGAAAGCTCCTATCTGCCAATGGGATGAATTCATCCTAAAGTGTGTGTATACTTAATGAATTTCTAGTTAATTATGTAATCGAGGTCATCCATTCTTATTTTACGCAGCGCTTTATCAGATCCGAATCATTGAATTGTAGTAGGATGAGCCCAGTAACAAAACTTAGAACCATTGTCCTCAACAAAAGCATTAAACTGGTAGTTTTGGAGTGCACGCGATTGACGAGTGATTTTACAGCTGAGGATTTAACCGGATGTTGATTCTGAAGTACTAGTTGGCGTGCGGTACGATGTGTAATCGGTTTGTTCCAGCACATCCCTGTTCACACCTTGACCGTTACACACTGAAGGTTAGTGTAATGAAACTGAACAAGGTTGTCACATTTTTACTACTTCAAAGATGTGTTCATCCGGTGTACACTATGCTCAGCCCATCCACAACCCACCACTCCGAACCGAATTTAGGGATAAACATTAGAATCAGTTTGATTTCATGCTTCATCCAATGCGCTTGAATTTTTCGGACAATTCAACTAGGATAAATTGCGCGTGGGTTTCGGTCGATAATTTTCACCGTCTACCACAGTGCCTCGCGACCTCTAACGACACGTGAGCGCATGACGAATACCAATAAGGATGAACTGTCATGAAGAGTGACACTTAGATGCTTTTAAGTAGTCCGATTTCCCGACATTTCGATGCATGGGCTAAAGCAAGAAAACAACCTGGTTCACCCTCGCCATGAGTGTAGGTGTGGTTAGGGGCCATGTGGCGCTGCAGTAAACGGTGGGAACTTTCAACCGGATTCCGTTATATCCACTTGATGAGCCCCAACCAGAACTTGTAAGGACCAGCCACATCCTGCTTTATGGGTAACACGGGAAGTTTGGAGGTGTCGGTGAATTTAACAAGTGCCAGTGTCAAGGTTGTCGTAACCTTACTATTTTCTGTGTTCTGCACAACTATATGCTGACAGGTTTTCTCCATTTATGTCTGAAATCACGACATGCACTGTCGGCTTTTCTTCTTCGGTTGCGATTAGTGAGCACCATAAAAGTTGTCAAGACAAAGCATGCCTATCTAACTAAAATAAAACATTTCCATTTATGTCTGAAATCACGACATGCACTGTCGGCTTTTCTTCTTCGGTTGCGATTAGTGAGCACCATAAAAGTTGTCAAGACAAAGCAAGTCTATCTAACTAAAATGAAACATTTTCCAACTCGATGGGTTATTGGCATTCCGGCGCAATAACTAGGTGATACAGTAGCTGATCTGGTCCGCCGAGTGACTATCATTCTTTTCATCTTGTCCGATTCCAGTCAGGATGACAGACTTCTGACTGTCCTTTGGGTATCTCTCACGTTGCCCTGGGGTCTCGTGGTTGAAACGCTTAGCGGTCGTACTGTTACTGTTTCTTTGATCCCCTTATGTCACCAGCTAAGGTGTTCAAGGTGTAACCGAACCGCGTCGTAACCTATCCAGGTTCGCTTGCATTGGAAAATAGAGCGAAGCACGAAGGACATTGTGGGATGAGGTAACAAATCACGAAGTGCAAAGGGTAGGCATTTTGTTGGTGGGGTACACTACTCATAAGGCTGCTGAAAACTCTTTAGAAACTCGGGACCGGTTTCGGCCTTCTTAGGACTCATCAGATAGGCACAAGCTCCGATTTTTCGTCAGCTTTATATTCTATTTGAACATGAAATTTTATGCGATTTACGGAACACAGTTGTTGTTGTTATTATAGTTGTTGGGGAGCGAGATGGCTTGGTGGTTAGAGCGCGGATTTACTGACCGGAAGGTCCTTGGGTTCGAACCCGACCTCAGCCTCTCAACTTCCCCTGTCTAGGCTTGACAACCTGGCCCACCCCTCGTACTTCCTTCGGGCGGCATGGCAGCTAGGCATCGAAAAGGGGTTACGGCTGAACGATTATACAGTTGTTATTGAATCGAGTTGATGTTAACCGCTGGCTTGTACTTTGGTTTGTTTGCCACATGAATGCCTTGCTCATGTGATGCCATGCACAGTCGTAGTTGACGCACTAGTCGGCGTTCAATAACTTGGTCTTCCAGCTCTCCGGTAAGCTAGTAATTCGCCCATACTGCACCGCGTATAATCCTTTTTTAATACTGACACACCTTCGCTCTCGAAGCGAGTTCTGCATTTGAAGTTGATCGGTTTTTATCCCACGGTTCTTATGTTTCATAGCAGAATGAATAAGCGGCTTCAGTTCCGCTAAACGATAGAACCGAATCAGATTTGGCCCTCGGCTATAGTCTGCAGTTGGTTTGCTCTAGCGAATTATGTTGGAAGTAAACAGATGTGTTACCTTGTATAGTTTCAGATTTAGCCTTGTGGTTAACGCTTTCTCGTTTGTTTCTGATGAATTGTAGCTGCGTCCAGGGTGGCACTACTGCTATCCCTGGTGCTTTTGGCTGCGGGAAGACGGTGATTTCGCAAGCATTATCAAAATACTCCAACTCCGATATCATTGTGTATGTGGGTTGTGGCGAACGTGGGAATGAAATGTCTGAAGTGCTTCGCGACTTTCCCGAGGTGAGACTTTTCACGTCCGAACCAGTTTTCTTTGAATCCCGTTCTCTTTTCTAAAGTCCTAAAATCAGTTATCCGACATCTGCTCTAGGTAAAAACCAAAGTGCTTGCTGTTCTGGCATTTCTATTGAAGCCCATCATAGTATCCCTAGTGTCTTTCATCATCATCACTACGCTCGAGTTTTACGGTAAATTGTCTTGGAAACTGGAGATTTCTCATTCTATTTACACGTGCGTTTGGTGTTTCGAAGATATTGGCTGGTAAATAGTGTGCACTTACACTGTCGGCCACAAGTTTTCTGCTCTCTGTCAATTGTCGTAGACCTCTGTACTTGAGCTAGGTGAAATTGTGCAACCCGCTGGTAGTCGACTGGGGAGTAGCCTACTCATGAGGTGACTCATAATAGCACTTTTAACATCCCCACGTTGTTTACTGGTAGCAGTTTTCTTGTTCCTGTTGTTTCCGCCCCATCTTCGTCTCCTCTTTTCACTTGAAACCAACTGCAAACCAACGCCGTCAAGTAATTAAATGTCCGTCCAATGCCCTAAGAGTCTAGAAATATTCCGATTGGAATTCTTAACCTTGATTATCGATCTGTATACTACATTTTACAGCTGACTGTTGAGGTGGACGGGAAACACGAATCGATTATGCAGCGTACTGCGCTGGTGGCCAACACGTCAAACATGCCAGTGGCCGCTCGTGAGGCGTCGATCTACACTGGTATCACCCTATCTGAATACTTCCGTGATATGGGCTATAACGTGAGCATGATGGCTGACTCGACTAGTCGGTGGGCTGAGGCATTGCGTGAGATCTCAGGTCGTCTGGCGGAAATGCCGGCCGATTCCGGATACCCGGCTTACTTGGGTGCACGTTTGGCCAGGTATGATATATCACGTGGTTTTGTTCGCTCTCTCTCTGCTTCACAAATTTTGACCTACTTGGCATGTTCTTATCAGTGTTCAGCACTTGTTAGCTTTGCAAAGCTAAGCAGACCGTCATTGAGAGATCACTGTGTGTGTTACTTATTATCGAATAGCGCTCATCTTTGGTTCTTGAAGTCATTCCGGTGATGGCTACATGCTACTAACGGGTGTTCACAGGTCAAGCGTTTTCAACCCATACTAAGTGGATACCAGCGTGGTTAAAAACGGTACTTCAAGCAAACTAGAATCAAGTTAACCGGCTTATACTGTTGAGTTGAACTGATTGCCTCATGCAGCTGAACCGCTGCTACTCGATTACTGTGAGTGCTTTCGGGCGCATTAAACACGAGAACAATTCATCTAAACCGCTGCGTTTGGCTATGCATCAGTACAAACAGTAGGAACAGCAACATCTTCGCCATCAACAGCAATACTGTTCTTCACCAAGTTACCGAAGCAACCTGAAGCGAGAAGCGAATGGTCCTAGAAAACGGCCGGAGCAAAACTATCGAACTACCCAGTCCAGGTTTACTGGCTGAAGTGAGACTAGCTTGAGGCTAGCTGTAACATGGTACTTACAACCATCCTCCCGAAAGAGCAGAGCGACCGGATGATTATATTGTGAGCACTGTGACCCCATTAATTACAGGTTGGTCAGCGAAGTTCATCACCCACTTCATGGTGAAGCCATTCACTTGGTGCTATTTTGTGTGGGTCACTCGTGCTCGCGGTTCGGTCACAAGTCCATCAATCTTATTTGATTAAAGATTGAACTGAACCACTGTATTAGTGCCATTCATTGTGAATCTGATCTCCGTGGAAGTCTATGTTACCATTAATAATAACATCCTACATCAGTGTTTTTTGTACTTGACTCTTGAACAGAGCCAACTTCACTAGCACCAGTTAGTATGAATTCATTCCTCCCGGCAACACATCGTTTTCAGTGCACCTCCGTGCGCAAACGGTCCTTTTATTGACTTAGACTTTCGATTTTGAGTTCTACCGCTGGTCGCTCACTGAACTCCATACATTCTGATCTAGCAGCGTCGTACTCTACAGGATGTTGGACTTTGAGTACTGTGCCACGCAACTTTCGATCCTGCTTGGAACTAACCGGTCTAATATATCGACTTGCGGTGCTTTTTATGACTAGATGCGGCTGTTGACAAAGTTTTTGTAGTCCTGACTTTTACAAGTCGGTATCTGCTTTATTGTGATTGTGTAACTCAGTCTATTGATCGGTGCGTGTAACTAAACATTAGTGTTCCACAGTACGAATACCATAGTGCTTTGAATCACACAGGTCAACACTTGTCTGGCGGTGACCTCTCTGCAACAGGTTATGGCGTGATTGTGCTGGGGGTATGAACAATTGACTTTGCTCGAGTTCACTAAGCAAGTTCATCGTATTTTAAGTGCATTGTTTATGTTAAAGATAGAGTAAGGTTCAGTTGTCAAAGACTATGCTCAATGCATCGGTCACGACATGATGAACGGGTTCAGTTGTCAAAGACTATGCTCAATGCATCGGTCACGACATGTTGATGAACCTCGCATACCTGTTTGGTTAACACAATGGCCTGTCAGTACACATCTCCCCGTTGAATCACCTGAAACTCTGGTAGATTTGCAGATATTATTATTCCATCGTTTTCAGTTTCTACGAGCGAGCCGGTCGTGTACATTGTCTGGGTGGTCCTGAACCTCGGTATGGTTCCGTCGGCATCGTAGGAGCCGTATCTCCTCCCGGTGGTGATTTTGCCGACCCAGTAACATCGGCGACTCTGAGCATCGTCCAGGTACATTTTATGAATAAATACCAGACCTAACCGTTTTAGTCGTGCACGTTATTATCACATGTCACTTGGCACAGTCCCAAAAATTCCGGATCCTTTTGAGTCAGATTTCCTACGTGTAAAAGTCATTTGCTGTATTGTCCGTTCCACCTTGAGCATCAGATAGCCATGCATGAGTGGCCACCACCGGCTTCACTCAGTTATTTTCTAACAACGCTTCATATTAGAGTAAAATTAATCGTGCCGCAGAGCGTAGGAAGGAGCACATCCAGTATTGAAGAGCTCATTGAGGCCTATGACTGCAAACTAATGCAGACCAAGATTCTTGGTGGACCGGAAAGGCTGAAGAAATGAAAGATACGAAAAGTGCTGGAAACGTCCATCAGCTGTTTCACTTGATTTGTTCGACTGGTCCTGGAAAGTTTCTTGTCAGCGAAATCATCAGAGACCAGAATGGCTCCCTGATATCCAGCAAAGCAGAACGCTTGGACAGGTGGGCACAGTATTTCGAACAGCAATTCAGTTAGCCACATGATACCCCGGTCCGGAATCTTGGCCTTCGACAGGAGGGTGAACTGCGAATATGGGGTCGCCTTCAACCTCAGAAGTATCGGAGTGTATATATCTACTCAAACGTTATCGTGCTGCTGGTCCTGACGACCTTCCACTTACCCTAATCAAGGATGGCGGTGAATTCCGTAGTCAGTGCAGTCAGTCAGTCAGAGAAAGACACCGTCCCAGATGACAGATGATTCGATATTAGTGCCCTTTTTTTTAAAAAAAAGGATATTCGCAACCGGTTTTGTAATCACAGAGGTGTTAGTTTGACTTCTGTTGTAACAAGGCTTCTGGCGTCACTGATCTTACGGTGGCATGCGAAAACCTGACTAGTGAGAATCAAGCGGGATGTCGACCGGGTAGGGACTGCGTTGACCATATCTTCAAACTCCGTCAGGTGTTAGAGCAACGTCACATGTACAGACGACCTGCAATCTTGATATTCCTTGACTTCAATTGTGAATTCGATTCTGTCGATCGGTCAGTACTGTTAATTGCACTTGCTCAATGGGGTACGTTTGGGAACATAATCAGGTCGCTATAGTCCTATACTTACGGGTGTGTGTATGTGTGTGGTGAGCTCTAAAAGCTTCCGCATATAGGTGGTGTTAGGCAAGAATGTCCGCTCTCTTGGCTCTTGTTCAACTTCGTTGTCGGTAAAATAATGAGGCGAACGCTGGAAGCTCTTCAAAACCCCGGTGTTCAAATGGTTGCTAGTGAGACTTGTCTCTCTGGAGTACGCAGACGACATCGCCCTCATCCTTGAAGTCCAAGACGAAGCACAAGCCCTGTTGAATAGATTGACCACTATGATATCGTGTTTGGGCATGCGGCTTGCACTTTCAAAAAGTCATGCTTCATAAGGTACAGCCTCTAAACATATCCCTTACAATCCAAGGAAAATCACTGGAGGTTGTGGAGAATTTCACATGTCGCGATAGTTGTATTAGCTCTGGGGGAAATGTGTCTTATGTAGTCAATGCACGAATCTCCAAGGCCCCAATCACGTTTGCTAATTTATTTCACTTGTGGCGTCAAAAAGGGCATATCGCTGGGTCTTAAGGGTCGCGTGTTCCAGGCTACAGTGAGGGCCGTGTTGTATGTGTCCGAGGCGTTGCGTCTGCGGACAGATGGTGTGACGTGCTTTCAGGTTTTTCACCACCGGAGTCGTTGCTGGTTTTGGATGGCACCAGCGGATCAGTAACGAGTTGACTAGAAAATGGGTAGTTGGCTGCGCAACAGGTACTTCACTCGCGGACAACATCCAGCGCCGTCGACTACGATGGCTTGACCATATACTACGTGTACCGAGACACCGTCTACCAAGACGAATGTTCTCCTCGTCTCCTTCAGAATGGCGCAAGCCGCGAGATGGACAATGCATAACTTGGCAGAAAGTTGTGAAAGAGAATACGAAGAGTTTGGGTGCTATGGGTGTCTTCCTTCCAGGATGAGGTTCCCGTGACCCCGCCTGCGCTTGGCTGGAGGAATTGCAAGTAATGGCGACTGATCGATGTCAGTGGCGTTCGTCCTGTCAGTTTCTTTCTAGATTGTCTGATTGGGTGTTTAGAGGTATAGGCACCTCAGAACGCTTGACATAGGCCAGCACCACGTGCCCTCCCTGACCCCCTCTTTCTCTTCCTTTCACTCTAAGGCTTCAAATATAATTAGGTGGACTGTATTGTTGTACGAAGCATCAGTATCGACACTGATGTTGCTGTCTCTGATGATGATGATGCTTTGGTCGCGTAAGGTTTTGAAGACGTCGTGATGCATAATGTATTTTTCTCGATAAGTTTACTGCATTGAGTCGAAAACACCGATCGGTTAGATAATTACTGACTTTCCTTATCTGAATCACACAAGCATGTTCCAGTGATGGGCGTTTGTTGTAGAGGATTTACACATTGTGGGCAATCCTTGGCTTGATGCTAAAGTACACCAACTCTACTTCCAGGATAGACGGCGAACAGTTGATTCAGCCTTCTCCGCATGATCTGTGCATTGCAATCGATGAGACCAAAAATCATCCCAACTCGGACACTAACCGATGTGTTCGTGCACGTTTTTGTTCACATGCATCTTCAATTCAGCCAGCCTAGTCACAATCACCACAATCACAATCCTCAGCAAGCGACCCTAACAACCGCTAAAATAACCAAACGATCATCTGGTCAGCTGCTCAGACCCAACTGAGGCATACAAGCTTGCAAAGATATGGTGGCACCGGATGTGGAACTCAGCTGATGAGCAGTGTGACAGGAAAAGCTGGTTAACCCCACGCTTGAATTTCATGGCTTGAAAAATAAAGGCCTACCGAAATAGCTACATTTACTCTCTATAACATTTCAACCTCAAGTGGAGAAATCATGACTTCGAGAGCAAGAATAATAAGCACGTTAACAAACTTCAACAGCCAGAAAACCAATCGTGCCGCGGTTGGACCCAGTTTGCTGATTGGTCCTCCTAATGTAAAACCAACTACCGGGTTGAGGTTCAAGTTTCTTCCTTCCGAGTGTGGTACACAGAGGACACTCGCATGAGGGTACGGAGGCCAGTGAGACCAAAAAGCAAGACTTGGTAGTACAACCATACCGGTCAATCTGTAGTGGTTCCATTCGACTAAGTAGTACTCAATAGTTGGTCGTGGTTTAGTAATTTCTACTCGACAGCCTTTCCAATCAGAACAAAGCAAGAGAGTGCGTGTTTGCTAGGTCAAGTGATGACGTGTATATTGTGCAGCAAGAACAGAGCGATCGATTTCTTTCAAGTCTATACTCACAACAACCACAACAGATGTAGCTCTATATAGGTTGTCAGATTTACTCACTGACATATGCTATATATATATCGTTTCGGTGTATCTTGTGAGCATATTTGATTCGAGCACTTGGGAGTGCAATTTGAAACCCTCTATAATTTCATTATTTTCTTCACTCAACCAGCTCACAGGCAAACGCAGATTAGAGCTACGTTACTAGCTGTTTTATCTAAGAGAGAGATATGAACAACGGGCACTGCCGTTCAGTGCCTGCTTGAGGTACTGTATGTTGGTTGGAATTCAAGAAAATCGTTGTTACACGTATATGGAGCTACATCTGTTGCCGTTGTGAGTAAAGATTTGCAAGACGTCGATCGAGCATTTGAATGCTCTGTTTTTGTCGCCACAATTCACATGTCATCGCGTGACCTAGCAACCACGCTTGTTATCGCAGTGTTCCTCTCGAGAGAGCCCTTCTCCTGTAGGGCCGATACTAACGTTTTCCTTCAGCCAGCATTAAGTGTGCTATCCGAGACTGCGTTTTTCTATGGTTTGTTCTATCTTTGGGTATGACCACTGAAGCTCTAGAATAAAACATTTCGTACGCTACGGCTTTGCATGGAACAAGGATAGTGAAGACAACCGATCCCATAGTTTTCCGTTGGTTTCTAGTGTTGGTATTTCACATTTCGTCCGTTAGAAATTCACTCATTCATTCTACACTTCTCTTTTACTTTTAGGTGTTCTGGGGTTTGGATAAGAAGCTTGCACAACGAAAACATTTCCCCAGCGTGAACTGGCTCATCTCTTATTCCAAATATCTTCGCGCCCTAGATGACTACTATGATCGCAATTTCCCCGAATTCGTTGGACTGCGTACGAAAATGAACGAAATTCTACAAGAGGAAGAAGAACTATCGGAAATCGTGCAGCTCGTCGGCAAAGTTAGTGCTGGCTGGGGCTACCATTCTTCAGCGGTCGATTTTTACCCCGTGATTTTAGCCCATTTAGCTTGATGACACAATCACTTATCTGACTGATGTGCCTCGCACCCGTCATTTGGGTCATTAATTTGTTTCGCCGAGTAAGTTGGCTTCCACCAACTTAGTTTCGGTTACTAATGCTGAAATAACTGTGTGAGAAATGCGACAGTAAAAAATGGAAGTTGCTACCAGGCAACAAACATTTTTGGGCGTGGTCATCAATTCGGTGAGTGAATCCCGATCGATCTATCATTACTGTAGCAAGGTCTTGCAGCCTGTCAGCTTTCCACGCTTATCTGGTAAACTCTACGCTTGTTTGATTTCACCCGTGTGCATTCAGTGCTTTTAAACTTATGGACCCTTTTTTGGGAGCTAGTCATGAAATTTTTCAGGACAACTGACTGGGTATGGAAGAAGTGTCTTTTGTACCAGACGCTGCGTCGGTGTTTTCCTGTCCCGTTTTGTGCCCACCAATAAGCAAGCCGTAGTTAAAAAGCACCGGATATATTCGTAGATTACTTATGTACCTTTCGTCACAACCTTAAACTGTGTTTTTTTCAATTCACAGGCCTCTCTTGCAGAATCAGACAAAATCACGTTGGAGGTGGCCCGCCTAATCAAGGATGATTTCCTCCAGCAAAACGGCTACTCATCTTATGACAGGTAAAAGTTGATCTGACGGGTCCCCAATATGTGTACTCAGTCCTTGATGTTATCTTACATAACTACTAGCACTTCCGGCGTCAGAGGCAGTTTGCTGAAGCTGAAGGACCATATATACAAGGCTCCTGTAAGAGTAGCCTTCCTTTATGGTTGTGAGACTTGGCCCATCAGGCGTATTTGAAATTCTTTATCACTAGTGTTTCCGTAGCATAGTTGGGCAACTGCCCAGCTCAGCGAACAAGCCAACGACCATCTACGCTACCTGAGCTACCGACATTTTCCTCTATAGAAAACTGTGACACCATGTTGCACTGTTCGCTGGTGGCTTGGGGTTGTTTCCCGATTCCTTTAAACGCAGGAAATTGCCGATTTGAGTGAAGCCCTGGATGCCTGCTTTGGTGTTCCTAAAAGCTCCCAGTCTTATTTTCACTCCTTACGTACTTCACCAATGTTTTTTAGCAGAAATATTCGCCAGAAATTACGAGCGTCAAGTGAAGCAGTTCTTGGCATGCCATTTTGTTTTGTCTACCTTCAGATTTTGTCCGTTCTTCAAGACGGTCGGTATGATGCGGAACATCATCAGTTTCTACGAACAAGCTAGGCATGTGGTTGAAGTTACTGCTCAATCTGATCGGCGTGTCACATGGGCTCTAATTCGGGAAGCCATGGGCCCAACCATCTACAAGCTATCCAGCATGAAGTTTAAGGAACCGAAAGTTGGAAAGGTCAGTTGTATGGATTGGTTAGTTGTACGCTTTCTTCTTCAGATCACTTTTCTTCTTACATCACTCCATACATGCATTTGTGGTCGCGTTCCGCATCGTTAAAATGCGTTGGGATGAATTTTCCGGCTCATTGAACTCATTGTTGTTCACATAACATCGCTCTGAACCCAGAGTAGCACCAAGTCAGAAACTTGCACGTGTTTGTCACTTTTGATTCCTGTTTCCCTGGGGGAACTCCAACGTACTAAACTACTCGTTACACCAGTGCGCTTGGGTCCATCCACGGTAGTCAACATTTCCAGCTTTGTCTGTGCGTAAGTAATCTACTCCCGTGGAAACGACACTTGCTCGTCGAAGTTTTTTTTACCTTCGGAGTCAGCGTAGCGTCCATTCAATCGCGAAATCACATTTACCGGGCCCACCAAGTCATTTGCGCTGGAATGATTAGGTCCTCACTTTTGGTCTGAATCGATGCGCGGTGTTTCCAAAACTGTTGCACGCATACACAGAAAATTCACGGGCTGTTCTCCTCCTTTTGTTCCATTATTGCTCACAGATTCTCGCATGAATATTCTTCATAATTTTGTAAGTGTGAGATGGATTTTATCCTACATCCATAGTTTTCATTGGTTGACACTGGTTGGTCAATTAGAACACATTGATTTCTGCACGGCACTGTATGGGCCAAAAGGCGACGAAAAGACTGTTCTTGGGCTGCGATGATATCTCCGAAACGCTCAGCTTAAGAGTCTGACAATGAAGTGTTAGCCAAGCCTCAGTGGTCGCACAGTGTCGTTGCAAAGCTTACGAAACCCGCCTTGCTGAAACACCGCACCACTGCGATCGGGGTTCCACTGCGAAAGTTATTTGATATCCTGACTTGGATCTTTTCATAAACATACTCCGGAATAGTTTTTTCACTTTTATCCTAGTTGTGGCAAAGGAACTAAACTCAGAAAGACAGAATGGAACCAAGCAAACACCCGTTTCCTTTGGAGACCTGATCATCTATGGATCTATAAATCGATTATAGATGAAGATAAAATGTTATCTTTCATCTTCATCTGTAGACGCACACGTAAACTGAAACAAAAACAATCTATTGCCTTTTTCAAGGGTAATCCTTATGGGAATTTACCGTATCTGGCTTAGATAATGTTTGAGTTTTCAACCTTTTCTTCAGAAGATCAAAATCCTCAAGGAGGCCCGTAGTCTCTCCTTGGAAGCACGTTTCTTCCGGCAGGTTACCATCGACCGTAACATAATGCCGGGCAAAATGTCCATAGTCTGTGAACATTAATGTGACTTTTCGCCTGTAGGTGCCTTTGGAGATGGCCCTAAACCTCAGGCAGGGATCGGTAGTTTTAACAGCAAAAAGGCTGTCTGTACCCTTGTCCCCTTATATCATTTGAAATGTTCCGCATCCGAACGTTGACGTTCATTCTTCCATTTCTGAGAATGAACCATTCTGTTTTTTGGTAGTATTCTTGTTCTAACTAGCTGCCGACTCATCCTGCTAGCCAACTGACTAGTGGAGGATACCCGAATGCTTCATTTAAGTAGCCGTCGATCCCCCTGAAGGACCTGGTAAACTACAAAACCACAAGCTTTGGATTCCGCCGAATACCCATCCTAACGGTGTGGTCAGATTCAGAAAGCCTGTGCCGAACGGGTGCTTTCGGTCTTATTAGACCCCTCATGTGGATTCAGTGGAATTGGTACTTTGATCCTTTGACTAACGGTTTTATGTTGTTACCCTATGGGCCACCACATTCACCGGCCGATTTGCGCGGCTGGTGAATTTGTTTTTTTTGGAAACGCCTGGCGAAGTTTCATATCTAAGACTTCATAATTATCGGTCCACAGGGATCGATAACTATTCAGACAAATCACTGGCTTTCATCAGTAGTAAGGTTACTACCAGAATGGATCTGTAGAGCTGGTCAGAAAAACATCACACCTCAAGTGTAATTCACCAGCTGCACAAACTAGTCAGAAAACACACGGTCCGGGAGTAACAGCCTGCTAACGAAGTATCATGCTTTTGGTAAGTTCATATGGAGAAGAAAGCGCTCGTTTGATTGAGCCTTTGGAGATCCGATCGTACATCGACGGTTAATCATGCAACCGTGACTACCTTAGTGATGGTGAGAGAAATTAATTAGTTAGTTAAATTACACGAGGGATCTAACCGTGGTTCTTTGCTAAGACCGGTGGTGGTGTCTTACTTTTTAGATTATCTCTGGCTTATTTCTGCCGATAGCGAGTTTTTCTGGCAGGAAGTTGCAGTTTCTGATATTTTTAATATTGTGCCCGCTTTATGGAAGATGAACCCCAATTGGCCTTTATTTCGGCCTAGTTCAACTCAGAATATTCTTCACCTTTACAAATTTGCTTCCTAGGAGAGAATTCTACGGGAGTTTGAGGAACTGCATGAGGAAATCACATCTGGGTTCCGCAATTTGGAAGATTTGTGATTGGTGTGTCAACTCGCGATCAACTACTTATGCTGTTGTGTGACCCAACGTCTGCCGAGCGCGCCATCTTGGGAGGTATGGGCTTGAATCCCCTCCCAATGTCTTTGTTATTTATACCATCCTCAACCGACCAAGGTGTCGCAACCCCACCAGTCCTATGCATGGGTAGCTGCAGGTGTGATCAAACAAGGCATAATATTCTCTCAACTAACTGCGTGCGCATTCGCCAAGTCAGGCTAGCTCGATTTCTACCCTTCCCATATTCATCATTCCAACCAATCAAGCAGGACCGTATATTGATTTGTTAGGAATATACTTCGTCTATCTTTAATCTCTTCCTATTTTCTTGATGTTGTTCTGTTGACTGTGCGTCGCTGCTGTCTCAATCTTTGAGTAGTTTCTATGTTGTACACCTCGGTCGAACTTTATTTGAATTTCCTCTGGAAACATACCAGTCAGCGTTTGATCATTGTGTTTTTTTTCGCTGTGCGGGTCTCAATACAAAAACCTTGCATTGGTCCTTTTTCAAGTGCATTTTTTAACGACTAAACCTCTTTGATACCTTTAAGTTCGGTCTTCAGAAACCGGTACAAGTGTCCCGATTTGCTGAGTTCTCCGATCTCAATTTCCTAAAATATGCAATCGTGAATATCTGGTCTCCATCCCGTCATCACAACCTGATTGCGTGTGTGGGGTGTAATCAAGTGAGCAAACCGAGGTCACTGAGGCCAGCTATCGAGCTAGGCCGGTAGGCAAAAGTGGAAACTCGGTTTCACCGAGCCCTGCTCCCACGCAATATATATATATATATACATATATATATATATATATGTATACATATAGTCTGGTTTACTTTCCTATGGAACCTAACGCCCATCAGCATATCAAAAGTCGATGTGTGGCCATCACAATTTGGTGCTGTTGGTATCCTTTATGAGCTTAATCCAGCCGCAAACATTGCCAAACGTTGACTTCATACTTCGATTTCGTTAGGGTCTAGGCCTCATTTGTGTTATAGATCAAAGCCACCCGCCATATCTGGCCGTACATATGGCTTTAAAATGCCTCTGGGTCGGCTTACACTAGTACTTTAGGTTGCCATCTGGGCGTTCCGTGACCCAAGTAGTCTGGAAACCATTTCTCAGTTTCCAAATCAAAACTCGACTTTTGTTTGTGAAAAATGTCTTCCGTCCCAAACCAAATTTCGACCTTCAGCCAAATACGTCACCTGACCAGTTCTACTTATGCCACCTGGAGAGTCCTAATGGAGGCGAAAACCCTATTTCGACTGGGATTTTAGGGGGTAAACTGGGCTTTCATATAGCCAGATGTACTTTACAAATTAGATGGGGGGTTCTTCTGAGTATCACGCTAGCACCAACTCAGTTTGCGAATGTGTTCACTTCCACTTTTGGCCGTTGGAGGTTGATGAAAATTGAAGAACCATGTCTACCAGACCAGTTTCACGGGAGGACGGAATCAGTAATGGGCTGTCTGTGGGTGCTCATCAGACTGTTTGTATCAGTACCTTGTTGGTAACTGTTGTGATGCACAGTAAAATCCACTTTGTTGCTTAATAAAGCATAACTCGCCCATGAGAAACCCACCTCAACCACCAAATTAGGCTGCTCGTGAATGAACGCATTGTGTATAGTGCATGCAGTTTGCAATTCACTGTACGGTTTCACAAATTACAGGGACTTGTTACGCGGCCATTTTAATGCCCAATTCGGGACCGAAAAGTCAAGGGTACCATGGTCTGTCTTTCACGGCCGTCCTATTTCTACACTGTATTTTAAAAGGACTTTCCACGTTCTCTGGAACAACAACCTTGTCAGACCTGAGTTATCGAAATACTGTTTATTTCAGCTTCGATAGCGTCTCTTATAGTGTGAGATTATGCTTTATCCGACTGACAAATGTTAGTCGTTGTCGGTACTCCAACGATTTAAGGCATCGTTATGAACGTTTCTGGAGAAAAAATGTTTCTTCAGGACCCGAGGAATGATTTGTGTTGATTTGAATTAATCAATTTGGAGTTCATCGTGGGAGCATTTGGTTACAATCCGGATCCTGAACGAGTGAAATCACCTCCAGGATCAGTTTGAGTCAACGAATAGTTTCGAACGGGCGCAGTCTAATGGGTATAGGTAATCGGCTTATATCCCTCCGGTGTGCCACGGCCTAACCATGGCCGTTACCCCCATCCGATGATATGGCTGATGTAGTAGTGGTAAATGAAATTTAACAAGGCAACGCACGATGTAACCAGTGTCACCTCGGCGACAATAACGTACATGCGTCTTGTTTTCCACAATGAACTCGAATATAAGCACAGGATGACAGATACCATGAAATACAATAGAAGCACCCCTTGGATAAGCCCACGGAAGACGATGTTACAATGGGTGTGGGTTCAGTACGGATGTATACTTTTGTAAATATTGAAGCTTATCGATTACCTGGAGAATTCTTTTCGGTTGCATTTAGGAAATTCATGGCGCTTGTAAACTAAAAACAGCTGGTTTCCACTCTGACTATTTGAGAATTGTTGTGACATTAGTAGTAGAGCGCAAGCATTTACAACTTGCAACTTACTATCCACGCGATACCATGCGAACAAATGACACGTTAGTCATGCTTTTGGAGGAGTCCGAAACGGTCGTCATCCGGTATAATCTTGGGACTTACCTAAAATCTTGCCGTAGGTTTTTGTCCAAAATGTTTCGAACCACTTTAGGTGGCGCGATTCTGTATTTTATTAATTGGACCCATCGATATGTCTGAGAAAAGCAGGATAATTTGAAGATGAACTATTTCGATAGTGATCTGGACTAGATCGTCAAGGCGCATAAATTCTCATTAGAATACATCTGGTTGTCTCATCTTGATACGTTATCATTTTGGTTTGGTCGAGTGGAAGATGAATAAAGTGAATTGCTAGTTAAAACAAGCACCATAACGGTGGGGAAATTATTGTCTCTAACTGTTTAGTCTCCTCTGCACATGCTGGTACTCCTCTATGCTAGTAACTTGGTGGCCAGATTTGCAGGTAGAGCTGTTGGAGGCTGCTTGACCATTTTATCGTCCACTTTGATTGGCTCAGTGCTGCGTGCGTCGATGTCACCTTCTGGTTGGGCTCGGTCCATTCTCTGTTGCCTCAACGTGAGGCATTGGTTTTCCAAATCAAGACTTGCCTGTTTTATGGCAATATCATCGTTGATTCGGTTTAACTGCTTGTGCAACGCATCCAAGGCGTGCCTGTTCGAAGAGAAATGCGTAAGTTACTACAGGGTCCGAAACTATCAATATGAGATACCAGGTTCCTGTTCCTAAAGAGACAGATTGCACGCTGTCGTGCATAGTTTTATCCAAACTGTTTACTGGCTGAAGATGTTTCTTATTTCACTTTAAAATTTATTTGTTTTTAGTCTATGAGACCAAGGACGGCCACTCCTTCAGAATATATTCGGTGAAACTTATGCAATCTTCGGTGGCCGTCACCTTAAATTTTTCTTAGGCTTTACAGAAGGGTCATTTTCTACAGTGGCACTTGTGTGGTTGACTTATGCGGTTGCCACGAGTCAAATTCTCGTCTTGTTCATACCCCTTTCTGTCTTGGTAGACCTTTGTCTTTTTGTGAATATGTCTGCAACTGATGACTGAGTTTTTTTCATCTTTTCGTCTCTCATGTGCTTGTGGCATTCCTTAAACGGATGAAGTCATTTTCACAGCTGTTTACCAGAATAAGATTGGAATTTCCATAGCGTAAAATGCATCACCTGGTCTCCGCTTACCTGCACTGACGCTGTTTTTCCAGAAGTGCTTCCTTGGTCACTTCGATCTGTTTGACCTCGTCGGTCAGTCCATACTGCACAGCGTCACGACACAGTTCCATCCCCGGTCGATAGGTTCGTCGTTCCAAGCGAGTTTGAGCCAATTTACCCGCTGGAATCATATCCCTGATTACTTGTTCAAGCTTCTCGAGATCGTTTTCCATCTCAGCCATTTCGTCTTCCGTCTTTTTGAAAAGAAGCGAGTAGGGAAAAACAGTTATAACTGACAAGTTGAGAAACGCGTAAAAAATTCTCTCTGTTGTAGGTACAACAAGAGCGCCTTTGAATAGCATAGCAGGCATGATGAGCATCTAGTTGAAAATGTTCCTCAGACCGGCGAATTTCTCCGCCTACTTTTATTCGGTTTGAGTGAACGGACAAATGTTCACTGGATGTTTATATTAACAACCCTACTTCGTCTCCCTTCCCGACTTTTGGAGGCATGAGAAAATAATGACGGCCCTTCTTCAACTGATCACTAGGATTACATGGTCACAGATTCACAATAGACTTAACCGTGATTCTTCAGTACGCAACGTGGGGTTCATACGGGAAGAGAGTCAGAGCAGTCTCTTAAGTAAAGCGCGCAAAATCAGTCGACTAAAATGACAACCACAGTGGCTTGCACAGGAACTTGTCAACTGAAGTCCCGAAAAGTTTGAGATTATGAGAGAGTATGAATACGAGAGGGTAGTTTTTCGGTGGAGGGAGAAGGAAGATCGGTCCGAAAACGAGATAGGATGATTTGGTAACGTTGTCGTAACAGCCAAGGTGAGGCGACTGGAAGTGAGGAAGAAAAATGCAGCTAACACAAGTCCCAGTGACAGAACGGAGAAAAGCGTATCGTACCTGTACGATCAAAAAGGGATTGGAGACTCGGTAACGGATGGAGTGTTGATGGGGTGAGTTTCTTTGCATATAATCCAGGATTGGTTGACAGATCCCGGGGGTCCAAATTCTAGATGTGATGGCAGTATTCCTTAGCAGGACTAGTATGATTTCAAGAGAACGAAAGGTCGGACGAATGGCTTGTGACATGAAAAACACAACGCAGCTTCTTGCGACTACTTGTACAACGCTGGTGGGCTAAGAGAAATTGTCGAAGGTGAAGGAGGGGCAAACAGTACACTTTTGAAGAAGAAAACCGCGTGATATATGGAGGAGGCAAAGTTTAAGAGAACTATAAGGGTATTTGGGACGGTTGAATGTCATAACGTTTTCAAAACCCCACTCTCAAAGTCTGGCAAGATTATCGCTCACAGTGGTGATATTCTGTATATGGTGGTTCATAATTCTAAAAGAAGCTAAATGCCCGGGAAAATGGTACACGGTGCGCTGGGTGTATTTTTTTTTATCGAACGCGTGTATATCAGGTGGAAAAACAAACAGCCGTTGACGTATAACAAATATGCAGTTGAGAAAAGAACGAGCACGAGTAATTCTCGCATCGATACTAGCGAAAGGAAGAAGGCCTTCGCTGCGTAGTTGTTTATTAGAAAACATCATCTGAACAGTTACAAACTATTGGACAGGGAAGCAAAACTCTCATATGCATCTTGTTTGCAAAAATTGAACATCCATCTTCTCTTGAACTCGTCTTCCTGAAATTTCCTGGATATTCATTGACTGTTACTCGGATGCTACGAAGTGCCTCTACAAATTCCGTAATAGATCTGTTTCGAAGAGGCGCGAAGCGGATTTACGAGAAAACTACTACTCCCATGCCCCATCAGTAGTATCCACCGTTACACTGGGAGTGGTGGAGAAGACCCAATCAAGGTGCGGCCCAACTGAATATAATTGGGTGTAACCAATATGTCAGCAGTTTGGAAGGAAGATCAAAAGCTTTTGAAGTATCGGGTGGTACCCCTTCTGTTTGACTGACGTCGTCTAATGTGAGAAACCAATAACGTAGGCGGTTGCGTCTGAACTTGTTCTGTCTTGCTCAACGGTCTTGCCACTCTGTGTCGGTCCTTGGCTTCCTTCTCCTCCCACCATGATGTATCAAATGGTACGCTAGCTCCAGGCAGCCCTTTATGCAAACAAACAAAGATTATTACAACCTTATTTATAGGTCAGCACAGAATGTTCCACAAGATCGTGCTAGAATCTCCATGAGGGGGCGAGAAGCATCGAGCGAATGATGCTCGATCCAGATTGGCTGACATTCTGACTAATCAGGGCATACCTTTGTTTGGTCCTTAACCCGCACGTTACACATCCGCCCAGTTGATGAGATGTTCGGTTATCAGGGACGGCAGGCCTCTGGACAGAACTCTTATTGGTGGTCACTCAGTAGAGTATTGTTCTCTAGAGTACGAACCTACTTACTGGCCAGGAAAGTTCTTAGATCTTTTGAAGAAGCAGAATCGATAGAAATGGGGTAGCATTGGTTAAGGTTTGAGCGGGACCCGCGTCTGAAAATAGAGAGAACATCTGCTAGTTTCCTATAAGGTGAGGTATTAGAGAGAGGAATCATGACGGAGGCTAGTTCTGGTGCAAATTTCTGCAAAAGAAAAGAGGCACACGAGAGTCTTGTAGATACGAAGTGGGAGAAGAAACTGACGGACGCTTCTCAAGGAGGTGGTGGACACTTTGGCATATGATGATGAAGGGTAATCAGATACAGCAGCAAATGAAAAAATGCCTGATTTCTGATCACAGCGAAGGACACAGAAATCAGATTTTACGTATAAAAGCAATCCGGAGACAAAATGGCCAACAAAAAATGGAAGAAAACAAAACAGTGAATGAGTTAGGACTGAATACTCTGACTAGGCTTTAGAAAGGACAGCTCCCGGTAACCATGTTCGATAGTTGGTGTGCCGTGCGACCGATGCGTTCGTGCTGTCGACGACAGCTTTGGGGGGAGGACTAGGCAGGCACCATCAGTGTGGGTGGTTGGGGAGGACTACCAAATTGCACGTGCTATTCTTACCAGCAACCACCACAGAGACACGCATGGTTGAAATATTCAGAAGAATGTTTACCAAGTGAAAAAACTCAGTTGCAAACTAATTTGGTTTTTCGGGAGACTCACCTGGAACCCAGTTGAGTCTCTCGTTTGTGATGTTCCCAGGCAGCTGAATGTGGTGCACCAGGCCGCCTCATGCTTCAGTTGGTACGATATTCGGGATATCGCAATACATGTATATGTACGTAATGCACTACTTATAAGGTTGCTGAAAATTCTTCGACAACCCACCACCGGTTTCGTCCTTCTTGGGGTTCATCAAGTAGGCGTGGTCCCCGAGCTTCTATCAACCTTATGTTCTAGTTGAATGTGTGCATCTTGCTCATTTCGTGCAATTTGTTTTCAAGTAGAACATAAGTTTGACGGAAACTCGGAGACTGCGCCAACCTGATGAGCTCCAACAAGGACGAAACCGGTCGTGGGCCGTCGACGAATTTTCAGCAACCTTTTGAGTAGTGCATCACGAATGTTTACCAAGGATAGAGAACTGGGCGTACTTTGGTACATGGGTGAACTTCCGTGAACCTTCCGGTAATATTGGATGGATTAAAATGAATCTAGAGAAATGGGGAAGTATTCCTAATCAAGAGATATGGAAATGTATTTCCAGAAATTATGCTGAGAGGGCGGGCAGGACTGTGTAGACACAGTCGGGTTGGGACATGTGATGAGGATATAATCAATGGGTCCAAGTGGGATGGAAACAAACTGCAGGAAGTGGGCCTGTCAGTATGAAAAGATCCAGGTTTTATGGGGTGTCATCCTCACAGTCCGAGACACTAGCAAGGAAACATACGTTGCAGAAAGTGATTTTCAATGGAAAAAATATCTTCGCAGTCAACCTGATCAGTGACGGTTGAGGAAGCCAGCTAATTCAGAGTTATGAACTTTGAAGTCACCGAGAATGGAGTTGGGCAACGAAGCAAGTAACGTAGCATGTGTGCACAGTTGACGTTCAGAAGACAAAAACATCGTAAAAGAGTGATTCCATTTTAATCTGTCTTGTCATTGTATTTCGTCAACAATGGATCTCCACAACTTCGGTTGCATAATCATGTGGGGGCTGGAAAAGAACTGAAACGACCGAAGATCGAGCCATTATTTCACATCACGCGGGTGGTCGGACCATGTAGAGGAACAATTGTACAAAACAGGCGAACACAATCCCACCACCTAATGCGGCAGGCCACCAATGCTCGAACAGAGCCGGAAGTTTAAACGAATGACCACTCCGATCAATAATTCGGCGTTTGACAGCCTAGCATGCGTGTCAATAACAGATGACCCGATCAAAGCAAATCAGTGATTTTTTACCAGAGCAAGAAACATTTAAATGGAGAACTGCATCTAGTTCACGCTTCTGTGAATTTACAGGGCGGACGGGATACTACTGCGATTGCGATTCAGTAAGGTGCTGTAATCCTAGTTATCAGATAGAAAACCTAACCTTTGTCTTGCCCCATACACGCTACAACAACTTAGGAATCGTGGACCACAAACGACATGCGCGTTTTCTTCCACGAAATCCTTCTGAGTTTAAAAACGCAACTCTGCCATTGAACTCCACGTACTTTAGTTAAGCCAGCAAGTCAACTTCGATGATAGTCCAGCCAGGATTCAAGTCACACGTAGAGCTGACAAGCGCTGAAGCACTAGGGATCAACATAACCAAACTGCGTCAACCGTAGTGATGGAGCCAGTATCCCTTCTATGTGGTTTGAACTTACTGCACGTATTAGGTGACAGCGGCCACAGGTCAAGAAGGAATCCTATCGACACATGGCCACCAACAAAACAACAAAGACACATTCCAGCCAAAATCCATACAAACAACGTTTTTGTTACCTAAGACCTGGTGAGGCTGACAAACACAAAACCTTCGACTCTTAGTACAGCACATTGAGTGGAATATGGCTCTACTAAATATGCTGAGGATGTTAAACTTCTACCACGTAGTCGAACCACCAGTGCACACCACTGGCCTCGAAATAAATCCGGTTTTTCGCACTGCCACGCTCCAAGTTTTCCCGAATGGGTAGCACAGAGTAGCATCTGTGGGACTGAACCTATCGAATCGTACTGTTCCTGGAAATGGTTGGAGATGAAATGCACATTTTGGTCTCCCAGTACGTTTAGGTCTTATTGAGTTCAGAGCTCATGTTGAAAAATGTGTTAGAATTTATTGTGAGTACTTAGTCTTATTAAAAATAC